AATGGTCTCCAAGGGAGACGCTGATTATTCTTCTTTTCATCGCGCTTTGCGTTATTACTGGTTTCTCTCAGTCAGCCTTTGTACTAGACCAGCAGTCCGCATCATAAATCGTGGCAAGTAGGACGACGGGGTCGAACAGTTCTTTGTTCATGAACATGGGCACTTCGTTATCCAACAGCGATGTTTCGATGTGATTCAAACTACCAACGCTGCTTTCCTTATTCTGTTAAACTCGCCGTTAATGTTGTTATTGGAGTTCATTAGGTGATCGAGGTATACGAAGCTGGCGACTTTATTCAATTCTCCGTAATCATTGAAGATGGTAACTGGGGAGGGGGCGCAGCGCTCGTTGTGCATCCGTTTCGTCGTACAGATGTTCATCTCCAGACGGATGGCGCGTGACTCCTTCTGCGTCGGTGGAGTTCCATCTGGTCTTCGGTGAAGATGACGACGTCGTAAGCAAAGAGCAGATGGGTGAGTCGTTCTCCGTAGATGTTAATTACGCCACTCTGGTTCCAGGGGATTTCACAGGGATTCCAGCGCCGTCGAAAGAAACCTAGGAGAGATGGTATCTCTTGTCGTAAACCTCTTTTAATGCCGATTTGACTTGGTTCCTCGAACAGCTTAAGGCCGGCTTCGTCGTCAGTATTCAGTTCCTCGATCAGGTCGATGTTAACACAATTGAAGCAGCAGTCGTGCAGGAGGTTCCGAATGGCTCTCAGCTTGATGGATGCGTAACAGAGGAGGAATTAGTATTGTTTGCACCTCTTTGTTAACTGGTTCACGACTTTGACGAGTCGGTAGTAAAGAACCCTGTTCGCAAACAGGCTTGTTCGTTACCAGCGAGCAGTTGCAGGTCTTTCAGCGTACGGTTGAGAATTATTTGAGTAAACACCTTGTAGCTGACTGATGGGTTGATGGCACGGGAGGTCTTCAGCATCATCTTTCTTGAATAACAAAATCGTCAAAGAGCTATTCCTTGCTTCTGGTGCCTTCTTCAGTCTGATGTACTCTGTAAACCGTTCGACAAGGGTGGTTTAACAGAGCCATTCTGCCTGACTTGAGATTTCCCGATGTTATTCCGTCCCTTACAGCACATCTACCACTCCTCTCCTGATATGTTTGTTCGCCTACTGTACTTCGTCCCATCAAGTCTACGGAGTAACCTACGATGGCTTCCAACCCATACCTCTACCTTCTACCGGTGTAGGTTGTTGTAGAATCTGGCACAGGTCGCTTTCATGCGACAGCGATCAGTGATTCCTGGTTTTCCTTCGCTATTTAGTGCTATCGAAATCCGCCTTTTACAAATATACCCTTTACCACGGCCTTTAGGCCATTGTTTTTCGACGCTGCCTTTGTTAACTTCGTTTCACTGTATTCGCCATAGTCCTTCTGAATCTTCTTCCTTATTTTTTTTGCACACAGCACCTTTCTCGTTGTATAATTGCTTACCCGCCTTCATTCTGGTTTTTCTGGCAGGGGCTGCCTCGCTGCAGGGCTGGTGAATTGTTTCTTCATGGACATTTTTACCTGCTAGATGACTGAATGATTGATCTGATGGTATCGATGAGGCACTGGTAGCCTGCATCAATACCTCTGATAACGTTTACTGTAAGATTAAGCTGAGGAAGCTTGTCAGTGAAAGCTTCAGGATCGAGTATTGGTCCAATGGCCGGCAACCTTTGAGCCCTATTAATTTAATCTTAGCGACATCGATTGTGTCTGTTCAGTAGTTTACGATCTGACACCGCGCAGATGATGTTTTCTCCAATGGCAGACATATGTGCTATTGCTCGCCTTTTGCCCGTCAGCACGTAGTCGATTTAATTAAAGGTCGTTCATTAATGCCCCTCCAAGACCAATGCCGCTTCCCGGCATTTTAAACACGATATTTTCGACTTTGAGGCGGTTACTTCCGGCAAACGCTGTGAGGCTGAAGCAGCGTTCATTCGCTCACACTTCCACCGGCCGACTGATCGCTCTCTTTCGGTTGTTTCCTTTCTTACCATGGCTTCGAAATCTCATTGGACGATTATGTACTCGAGCATCTTTTGCACTGAGCTTACCAATTCCACTTCGAACTGCTCCGTTTCCTCATCATCGTCTTGCTGTGTTGGGCTAATAACCTCGCTTAAATATAGTAATATTCTCTTGTCCTCCCGCAGAATTTGTCGAGTGACTCGATGTGAAATGAGGTCGCAGCTGACTGCGAGCGTTATGGTTAATTTTTTTACAATGAACCCTACATCGCTTGTCTGAGCCAGGTTTTCGTGCGTTTTCCCAAGGAATGTTTGATCACCGTTGTTCCATTTCATAATAAGTTTGGCGGATCTTCAGGTTTCTAACATCTGCTTTGAACTTTTTCGCCTTGGTGATGTAGATGTCGATATTACGGTATTGTAGCTAGCCACGAAGAACCTCATGATATCCTTTTGCCGTTTTTTACTCACTTCTTGACCTTGATCAGACCGTAAGCAATCACAGTTTTTTGGCACGCTGAGACGGGGTCCTGCCTTTACGGTATCCCTTCACGCGTAGTATACTTGTGACGAG